TGCCAGGCCACTTAGTATCACCTCCTACATTATAAAACTGTTTCTCTTATAGGCACTTCTACAGAGTTTCAGGAGTTATTCGTATTTATGGAAAAAAGATATTAATGTAGAATTCCAGAATTTCCTTTCTGGTAAGCAGACGGTTGGCTGTATACCTAAGAAAGATGTGACAGAAAATGAAGTAGTCCCTTTGATCATGAAGTAAGTGCGCTAATTCTCAATAATTCCATGCAACAGTCACTAGGCACAAAAAGAAAACACAGATTTTTAAAGCATTTCATTAATTTTATGAATTTTGAAGACAACTTAATATTACTGAAAAGGCCTGAAACAAAAAAAATATAATTAAATGGCACAAAGCAGTAATTCTATCCTCGTACAGTTGTTTGCAAAAAAAAAAAAAAACTTACTGCAATATATTTTTTTTCTGTAATCAATCAATCAAGAGATGAAACAGTAAGGACCACAGTTGTAATTCATCAGTGTGAATCTCTCATTCTTGTGTATTTTAACAAAAATTGATTAGCTTTGTTATGGTTTAGTGCAGGGGTGTCCAACCTGTGGCCCACGGGCTTCGCACGGCTCAAGACAGCTATGAATGTAGCCCCATACATAAAATTGTAAACTTACTTTAAAAAAAAATTTTTGGGGGGGAATTTTTGTAGAACTGCATTTACACTTAGCGAACGCATGCGGCTTAACAATAATTTGACATTGTCTCTTTACTGAACTTTTATAAGGTAAGAAAAATCTCCCACTCTTCACAATCACACCTTATTCATGTCATCAGAACCTTTATTTGTCAGCAACAATTTTCAAGGACGAAGCACAGAGGGCAAAATTAGAACCAAAATATCTAATGAGCACCTTGAGAATTCATTGAAGATTGCTAATCCATCCATGGAACCAGATATTGATGTGTTACTTTATCTAAAAAAAAGAGTCTCAAATAACACACTAGTTTTATGTTCCCTTTTACTTTTATGAGGGACATTCAACTCAAACCTGGACTTTTGAGTTTATACAATAAAATAAAAAATGTCAAAAATGTAACTCCCCTGCTACATTTAAACACATCCCAGCGTTTAACTAATACCTGGAAAGCTTTGTCATCGAAAGATTGGTCAGTACACCTGAACCATCCTAGGACAGCCCGCTTCACTTTGTCATCGTTGTGTTCCCACAGAAGGATTAATCTCTTATGTAGGTTATACATCATTTATCCAGGATCAGGAGATCCAAGCACTGAATGTTCACAGGAATGACTACTGTGGTCTGGGAACCATCATGGCCAGGATTGTCACTGATGTACGCACAGCCATTTCTGAAACGTTTGCATCATCCAAATGTCTTACTGCAGCTGAGCATCTCATTACTGTACTGGGCTTGAAGTCTTCTGCAGATTTGCGTATTTTATACCTTTGTTCACAAGAAACTTCATCACCACACGCTGTTCCATGCATGCACTAACACTGTTGTCTGCCATCTTGATTAATGGTCTCTGGACTGGTCCGTGACATGTTCGCCGCCTATCAATAACAGGACACACTTGCCACTTACTACTGCATGTAGTCAGGGGTGTATTTACCACAAGGCAAACAAGGCATTTGCCTAGGGCGGCATTTTTCAGGGGGGGGGCAGCACTGCCCCTTGGAAGAAGGGACTGAAGAAGGGACACGCAGTATGGGTACCTGGTGGGTTCTGAGAGAGGCTGCAGGTTTCATGATGGTGTATGCACAGCCCAACTCTCATTCCTGGGGATGTCCGGAGCTGTGAAGGTGAGTGTCTCTCTCTCACAATGGAAGATGGTGGCTGGTGTTGGGGGGCAGTGGTAGTGGAATGCTCTCTCTGGTGGGGAGCAGGGGTGTTGTTGGTCAATGTCAGGCTCTCTCTGCGAGGGGGGGGCTTTTGCCAATTTTTGTGTTGCCTAGGGCAGCACAAAACATAAATACACCACTGCATGTAGTACCATCACACTAGCATGTAAAATTAAAAGTCCCAGTTTGACTTGAACACCCGTTGAATATTAAAAAATATTCCAAAAAAATAAAGTTTTATTACTCAGATACATTATCTGAATCATTGATCATTAACTTGTGATCTGCCTGACTTTTTCCGCTTATCAGCTATCCTTATTGTCAATGTATTTTATGTGTGGCCCAAGAAAATTCCTCTTCTTCCAGCGTGGCCCAGGAAAGTAAAAAAGTTGGACACCCCTGGTTTAGTAAATTCAACATTGTATACCAGTCTTAGCTTCTAATTATTAATTAAAAATATATTTTCGTATGTATTGCACATATTTATATTTTGTTAAATTAAACTTTAGCCTTTCATAAAATTATTACTTCTTACTACGGCAATGTTGTGCTAAATGTCACTAAGGGACACTATTTGGGATCTGGAAAATCATGTTTACAATCATGATTACTTACTAGGGCACGTGAGGTTTCTCAGTGTTCTTCCCAAAGTTGCTTTGCTGACTCTTTTACTCACAAAAGTTGTTATGTACATTTGTTGGAATTGCTTTAGGTATGTGACCCTTGGGGGACCAAGTTTGGGCAGAAAAAAGTAGTATATCTATTGTTATCTAGGGCCATTTTCACATTTTAGCTATGGGCCTATTAATTTGGTAATAACTTTATAACTTATGATACCTAAATTATGTACACATAATTTTTTTGGATCATACAATACTTTTTATAATATTGTGTTAAAAAAATCTATGTATTTTTAAGTAAAAATGCACTCTCTGTTTGACTGGTGATAGTTTTAAAACAAATGTTATTATAGATATGTTAACACTATACTGGGAAAGGAGTAGCATGCAGCTCACTCATTGTGCTAGCTATGTTGTTGGCCCAGTGCTGTCACATGGCAGTGGGGACTGTCCTTACTCCTGTTTAAGTAGCATCTGGAGTGATTCAGAGTGGGAGCAAAGAAAGCGGAAGAGATCATGGGAAAATCACAGGTTTACTTTAAATTGGAAAGACGATTTTTCCATTTTAAGGTTTGTTTCAGAAACAAAAATAGATACATTGCAATTAGTTGCACTAAGAGACCAAGCTGGATACCTTGTTTATATTTTACCAGGCACTAATCACAGACACCATTTTTACTAATAGCAGATCTACTACACAGGTAGGGACCCCAGCTGCCAAACTGACAGCATGCCTCCACACCTAAACATGCAAAAGAAAAAATGCAAATACCAAACGCAAAGAGATTCCAGGGGATATGTAGATAACCACAGTATGGGCAGCTCCAACAACTCATCCAACCAGCAATGAGGCATGAGCACAAAAACAAGTAAAGGAGAACTCCCAACCCTGTGGAAGCCAGTAGAGTCACAAGCCCAGGAACAGATGAAATCCAAATTCACTTTAATGTTGGGTTAAAAAGCATGACATATAGGAGTGCCCAAACTGATTGTTCACAAAGCCAGTGGAGAGAAGAAACACATATCCCAGAAGCTGAAGGATGACACATGATCCTGGACCCAACAGTAGGTTGCTCAGCCCAGGAGCCTCAGAACAGTGGGAGGAGTGTGTGGATGGCGGCTGCTGTGATCACTGAGATGGCGCATCTGCCAGAAGTCAATTGTCCTAGAACCAGATGTGATGGCATACACCTGGTGGAAGACCACCCAAACAACAGCCAGTGAGGGCAAAATGGAAGCCTAGGTGAGCACTCAAACAATGTCAAACCGAAGGAGAGAAGCCGGTAATCATGATAACATGTTTCAGGGACTTGACCCTTCCACAGTTTTCTAAACATGTGAGTGTGTGCTCAATGGGACTGTAGGAATTATGGGATACTTGGTCAGGATTTCTGCACAGATGTATTTATATTGTAAGTTCGGTCTTCCATTGCAAAAACGGATTAAACTACTCATGTAATTTGTTATAGTAGGTAGTTTTTATTGTTTGTTTACTTCTTAGTTTTGTTTACTAATACTACCGATCTTTTTGTACTGGGTGGCCTATCATTTACTAGATGTAACTAATTATGTCTGCAATATTGACTAGATGTCACAACACTGGTAGATCTCTTATATATATTCCATCTTGCTTAGCGATTATTCAGGAAGCCACAAGACAACCCGTTGATTGTAGCAGAAAGGGCATTCATTTTGCCCAGGGATACTAGCGTACACATGATGCAAGGCCCACTCCTCGAAGACTTTGACTCTGAAATCTCAGCATCCAAGGTTAGTGTGACACTAACATGCACTTCAAACTGATTGTAAAATCTTTTTACATGTGTGATTGTAGTAAAAACGTCTTTGGTTCAACATTTCATCTCTGTTAATTTGTATTTAAGAAATTCAAGGCTTTAGTTCTGACTCTGAGAAGTAGAGACACTATGGAATTGATTAACTAAAACTGGAGAGTGCAAAATCTGGTGCAGCTCTGAAACGAAACCAATTAGCTTCCAGGTTTTATTGTCAATGATTGGCTACTATGCATAGCTGCCCCAAAACTCTCCAGTTTTATCAATCAATCCTATTTGTGTACTCTTGATATAACAGGACTTTTTAAAAAGTTTTGCTACTATTTTTCTTCATTACAGGTTGTCAGGGACAGCATCCATGGACTTCCAGATCATCAGCAATGCAGGTGGATTCAAGTAGACTTCAGGCCTATTAAACAGGTTCTTTCTGCCTATGCCTTAAAGTGGATGTGGACCTTTACAAAATACCTCATAGACCAGGTGACGTAATATTTGTAATATAAAAATCACAAGGTTTATATATAATTGTTCACCTGGACTGTACTGTAGGTGGGTTAGTATCACTATGAATGATGTGCTAGAACAATTTAGAGAAAGCAATTGGTCACCCAATTGGTTGTAAATGGATGTACTTCCTATTTTTATTTGATCTTTTTCTTTTTTTTTCAAACCCAGACACATCCATCCAATTGCTGGACAGAGAAGCATAATTTGTCACTGCAGAGAACACGTCTCTACTGCTCTAGAGTCCAGTGGTGGCATGCTTTACACCACTGCATCTGACGCTTTGCATTGCACTTGGTAATGTAAGGCTTGGATGCAGCTGCCTGGCCATGGAAACCCATTCTTTGAAGCTCTCTATGTACTGCTGTTGTGCTAATCTGAAGGCCACATGAAGTTTGGAGGTCTTTAGCTATTGACTCTGCAGACAGTTGGTGACTTCTGCTCACTGTGCGTTTCAGCATGCGCTGAGACCACTCTGTCATTTTATGTGGCCTTCGTGGCTGAGTTGCTGCTGTTCCCAGTTGCTTCCACTTTGTTATAATACCACTAACAATTGACTGTGGAATATTTAGTAACAAGGAAATTTCATAGGCAGACCTATTGCACAGGTGGCAACCTATCAACATCCTGGGAGCGACCCATTCTTTCACAAATGTTTGTAGAAGCAGTCTGCATGCCCAGGTGCTTTATTTTATACACCTGTGGCCATGGAGGTGATTGGAACACCTGAATCCAATGATTTGGAGGGCTGTCCCAGTATTTTTGGCAATATAGTGTATTTGAACACAAGGGTTTGCCACTAGTCCCATATAGTAAGCATCAGTCAGCGTTTTACATGTATGTGCATAAAGATGAATCCAGTCTATACCAATGTCATTTAGTCACCTCCAGTCCCAAGCTCAACCATCACAGAGAACAGAACTACCCTAAAGAGGCCTAAAACGACCAACTAGCACTAGCTGTTTACTGTACATGTTATTACGCAGAAAAATGGTTTCAGATTTGTCTTTTTAACATCCAACGCTCAGGCCTTATACATGTGTCGGTCTTTAGCAGAATTGTGCCCCATGTCAGCAGTTTTGTTATTTTCTGTGATGTCACTATTGTTAGTGCATCTCCCATAACCCCCCCTCCCCCCCCTTCCCAACTGTAAGACTAATTTTACTAAAGACAAAAAGCTGGTTCATTTTACAGGGAAATTTTCAGTTTGCATGGGAATTTTCCCTTATCTCAGTAATTGTGATGAACATTCACTTACACATTTTCACTTATATACGAATAGTACCCAACCACATGCAAGAGAAAAAGGTATTTTTGCTTGCAAATGATTGGCTGATAGAAGTCAGCAGAGCTTTACCTCATTCACTAAGTTAAGTGAAAATTCCCTTGCAAAGGGAACACAATATCTTTTTGAAATACTGCATTTTAGCACACATTAAAAAAACACAAATAAATCTAATAAATTGTACAAAAATAATTTTTTAGCAAAAGCGGAATTCCCTTTAAGGGTCTGTGTCTGCCTTCGAAGCTGAGAAGATCTGAGGCTCCCAGTACAGATGTACCTTGTACTCTTTGTATGATGGATCCTGTTTTGCTTTGTGGCTCTCTAGATGTAATACAGTTGATGTCAGTCAGTAGTATATTTATTTCCTGCTTCTATGAGCTACAGTTTTTCATTATTGTTTTCTATTATTGATGTGTTCTGAACAGAAAATGCAAACATTGAAACTAAATTCCAGGAAGATTTATTAATGTCATTTCTTTTTTTTAAGTGCTACTAGTTTAAATATTTGAATCTGACTTGATATTAGCCTCTTGTAATCCACTGTACAGCAGTACTCTCAAATGGGAAAGGGAGGAGCAGCTCTAGGGACCAATCAGGTGTTATGCATGCACATGTGCTAACCAGAAAAAAATTGGCAATGGAAAAAAGCAGAAAGATGATGTTATCAGTCTATTGTTGCTTCTTCCCTGTCCAGTCAGGAAGGTGATCTAGCTGTTTTGTTTACAGTGGTATTAAACTCTATTTAATGTTTTTTTTTTCTACCATAACCCCTGCAGGTATATGTCATAATGCATTAGTATGCACTATTAAATAGCATATTTACCTGTCATAATGTGCCCTCCACATGTGCTGTCACTAATCACATCGGTCCCACGTGCTTCCATCTTTGCCTGGCCTTCCTTTTGGGTTCCATCTCTTTGGCCACTTGAATGGCTGGGGCACAATGCATGCACACAGAGTCAAATCACAACTGCAGAGTGAGGGTGCCATCAATGTGGTCTAAGCTGTGCATGTGCAGCTCAAAATTATATTACAGCTGACAAACCTGGAGAGGCATTTATGGCTTCTTCTATTCTAAAAACCCTGCCTGTTAGCAGGATTTATAAAAAAAAAGGTGTTCAATGTCCCATTCATTAAGAACAGAAAAGTCTGGTTCTACTGTCTGGTAGGACTGTGTAAATCTCAGAACCAATCCCCAGGGTTCTAAACGCTCCCTCTTCACCTGATCTTCCTTCCAGTTTCAGTCTCTTTAGCCGCTTGAATGGCTGGGCCACGCTTGCATGAGCGTGGTAGTCACATCACCACAGAACAGCAAGAGTGCCGTAAATGTGGTCTAAGCTGCGCAGTACCACCAACAGGCTGGGAGAAGCATTTAGGGTCTCTTATGTTGTAAAAACCCTGCTTGTCAATACAAATTTATTTGAGCACAGAAATGTCTGGTTCTACTGTCCGGTAGGGCTGTATAAATTTCAGAAATGAGTGAACAAAAATATACATTCATGTATTGCAGTGGTGTATTTAATTTTTTGCCTAGAGTTCAACTTTAAGTATTTCCATTTTTAGACGTCTGCTACATTAAAGAATTTAGATTCCTTCTTGAGAAGTACAGAACCCCAGATTGAAAGAATTACAGGAGAGGAAAGAGATACAGGATCGTTCATGAAGATGATGCGCCTTTTTAACAAGGTAAGATAAAGAAACTTGTTCTTCTTTACATCCATAAGCAATATGTTAATTTTGACCTTCCCTTCAGCATGTTCTTTAATGTATGAATGTTTTAAGCAGCAAGGCTGACATAAGTCAGTACTATGTTATATGTAATCTAAGAATTATGTTCTGTTTTGTGTAACCTTTGCCTCCCTAGTTAAATGAACATGCCTATCACTGTAGAAATATAATATGTATTTTTCTTCTATACTGTGTCCTTGGACGTGGTCTTCAATTGCTTTCAAGTGTGTATAAAAATGGCACTGGTTCAGTACATTTTTCTTGGAATTTTATATTTTTCACTAAACCTTGGATTAGACTTCTACATTATTCCGGAAACTAAGCTAAATATTTCCTAACATATATAAGGCATTAAAACAATTTAGTTATTCTAACAATTACTGTAGTATTGCATTATTTACTATTTTTGGGTGCTGGAGAAGCTGACCTCAGAATGCATGAGATATACAGTACATATATATAAATTCCATTCAAGTAATCTTTAGATTGGCTGTAAATAACTCTGTAAATATTATTGATAGGCATTTTATATAAGCTTAAATACACAGGAACCAATAGACCACTACATTCTCATCCTACACACAATTAATTAAACTGTTAATGCCAGAGAAAAAAAACATCCTCATTAGAATTTCAAATGAACACTCTTGTTATCTCATTTTCCGTACATTAAACTATTATTATTCTTCAATGTTGTGTCCATTCAAAGCATGAGCGAATCAGCTCAGTGAGGCATGTTTATTTCTGCTATAATTAAACAAATGAGGTATCAGTCCTGTTGGCAGGAGTTAAAGAGTTTTTTTCTGTTGACCTGTTTTGTTTGTGTTAATGTGATCTGCTTAACATAACTGGATGTGACTACAATTAGTACTGGCTGGCCTTTAGTCCAATCATACGTCAAGTCTTGCCCTCAGCACACATTAATTAGAGGATGAATCCTTGTGTAGGGATATGCTGCCAGTTCTCATGAGTGGCTAGAAAATATATATCTAGAGTACAAAGCCCTGGCTTCATCTTCATCGAACACTAATGGCCTGCATCACAGGCCATTATAGTATATGCATAACCTCTATAACCTTCCAAGCTAGGCTATTTCTTTGTATTATGGGACATAACATGTTATAGTGACTAATTTAATGCACAGCACTTTCACTGTCAGCACATAGCTTGAGTTTCTATGTGGGAAACATATTTTTAAAATATTTAGAAAATTTGTATTGAAAATTCATGTAGATTAGAATGCTCACAGTTTTACTCTGCAATTGAATTGTTCAGTAGTTTATCTCTAGAGCTGACCTTAAAGTAGAACTATAGGCAGCACTTGTTTTTTCATTTTGGATAGAATAAAGGAGGGTTACAACCTGTAACAGTTTTTTTTTTTCATCTTTGTCCTTCTGGGGAGACATACCTTCACTTCCTGTCTCATAGCTAAAACAAGAAGTGAGAGATAATCCTCACAAATTAAGGGAGTTCTTTGTGGACCCCCAGGTCACCAAAACTAGTGTCCCCATTGGAATATTTCCCCTCTATTACTTTTCTGGGGACAACCCAAAATGTAGGGTTTTCTTTCACTTTCAATGACAATGGTAAACAGGACAAATAGAGAGGACGAATCTCCCTAACGGGGGTCACAGACTGCACTAAAAACCTAATAGGTGTTCTAATGCATCTCCACTCTGTTCAAAACTAAAAAAAAAAGTTTGCCTTTAGTTATACTTTAATATCATGATCTGTCTTTTTGCACTTTAGAGTACATGCTTTTTATTTTTCTACCTTCCTTCCTTTGTTCCTTTTTCCCCCTGTGGTAGTTAGTATCAACGTTACACACAACTTTCCAAATTGAACAAAAAAAAAAAAAATGACTCGATTCCCTCATCCACACATCCATCCGCTGTGCCTTTGTATTCTGACAGCGGGGAAAATTCCCTCTCATTAGAATACACTGATCAGCTATGCTGGCTACAACCATTGATGCTGATTAAGCAGAAATTTTCCAACCGGGCGGTTGTACAGAAGTCAACTTCTGTACAATCTCTGTGCCCATACATGGATTGAAATTCAACCTGTCCCTGCTGAACTGGACAAATTTCAAACCATGAATTGCCGATCCTACAGTTGTTGGGGCCCTTGACTAGTTGCGTACCCAACATGGATTTGTCATAGATATGACCGCTGATGCTCTATTTCTACACTACTGTTGATAGAGATATTATTTGTAATTGGGACCTATTGAGATTCCCATGAGGATGGTATTTAAATGATTGTTAAGGACCACAAGTTTCCCTACTGTTTTTTTTTTTAATAAAGAAATCCCATTAATTCTACATTACACCAGGTGTCATCCAGTCAAGCAGACATGGAGGTACAGTTTGCAGTTTTAAAGAAGACTGTGAGCCTGTTAGGAAAGCATGAGACAACTCTTCCCTCTGAATGTGAAATACTATATAAGACAATGCCAGCACGCTGGAACACTATGAAGACCAAAGTTTCCCTTGCCAAGCAACGTCTGGGGCCAAGGATACAACAAGAAGCTGACATTGTGTCCAAGGTATTGTTTCATCAATTTGCGCACTTTCTGGGTAATGCATAATTATGTAACTTGTGACTGTAGAAGGCTAAATTTACTAAGGTATAATACATGTGTTTTGTGGCCTAACGATTAGTATTTTCAGCTTTGTGACATTTATTTTTAGCTTTTATTGACTCTCATTGCTTAAATACTTGGTACAGCCACTTGAGCTTCGGAAGATTTTACCTCCTTCATAACCAGAACATTTTTTGCTATTCACTCACTGCTTTTCACACAAATAGAGCTTTCTTTTGGTGGTGTTTGATCACCACTGGGTTTTTATTTTTTATTATATAAACAAAAAAAGTCAAAAAAGTTGGAAAAACCCCAATATTTTCTACTTTCTATATGAATATAAACGTTATATAAAATATAAACGTTTTGAGTAGTACTTGAGTAGTACTACTTCTTACATAAGTATAGCAAAGTAGAAAAAAATTCTAAAGTGAAAACCGTCAAAATACTCCACTAAGTATACACCAGGTCTTAAAATAAAATTACAAAATATCCACGTGTACCAAAAATTGTCCATGTATACCTCTCTAAATTAATATTTATCATGTTTCCAGAATACTACAGAAATCCTTCACACCTACTTCTTATATGTAAAAATTTGTAAAAAAAATACCTATAAGATATACACTGTGTCTTAAACTAAAATGACAAAATACCTGTGTGTACCAAAAATTGTCCGTCTGTACCACTTTAAATATATATTACATGTATTTCCAAGGTACAGGAAAGGGTGGAGACATTTGTATGAATAGCTAGGAAGTTTGTAAATCCAATATAGGGAGGTTCTCTTTATTTGTTAGGCGTAAAAACTCTGTGCACTAGGAGTGATCTCATGTTATGACTAGAGTTATATGGCCCTTTTCCTTCCACTGCACGTAGTGGTTTATCCATTCATCCTTCATCAATTTTATTGTATATATCTATTTTATGTATACATAACCTTTGAGAGTATTTATAGATTCATTTTATTTCATTGGCTATTATATTTCATTACATCTTTTAGTACATCCATGAGGTGATGTTATTATACACTATATTGCCAAAAGTATTGGGACGGCTGCCTTTACACGCACATTAACTTTAATGGAATCCGAGTCTTAGTCTGTAGGGTTCAATATTGGGTTTGCCCACCCTTTGCAGCTATAACAGCTTCAACTCTTCTGGGAAGGCTGTCCACAAGGTTTAGAGTGTGTTTATGGGTATAATGGTTTGACCATTCTTTCCATAAGCGCATTTGTGAGGTCAGGCACTGATGTTGGATGTGAAGGCCTGGCTTGCACTCTCCACTCTAATTCATCCCAAAGGTGTTCTATCGGTTGAGATCAGGACTCTGTGCAGGCCAGTCAAGTTTTCCACCCCAAACTCGCTCATTAATGTTTTTATGGACCTTGCTTTTTGCACTGGTGTGCAGTCATGTTGGAACAGGAATGGGCCATCCCCAAACTGTTCCCACAAATTTGGGAGGATGAAATTGTTCAAAAATGTTTTAGTATGCTGACACCTTAAGAGTTTCCTTCACTTGAACTAAGGGGCCAAGCTCAACCCCTGAAAAACAACCCCACACCATAATCCCCCCTGCCTCCTCAGGCAAGTATTATTCTTCTGTCAACCGCAAAACCCAGACCTGACCATCAGATTGCCAGACAGAGAAGCATGATTTATCACTCTAGAGAACATGTCTACACTGCTCTAGAGTCCAGTGCCGGCATGCTTTACACCACTGCATCCGACGCTTTGCATTGCACTTGGTGATGTAAGGCTTGGGTGCGCTTTAGCATGCACTGACCTCACTCTCTCATTTTACATGGCCTTCCACTTCGTGGCTGAGTTGCTGTTGTTTTCCAGTTGCTTCCACTTTGTTATAATATCACTAATAGTTGACTGTGGAATATTTAACAGCAAGGAAATTTCACGGATGGACTTATTGCACAGGTGGCAACCTATCACGGTACCTCGCTTGAGTTCACTGAGCTCCTGAGTGCGACCCATTCTTTCACAAATGTTTGTAGAAGCAGTCTGCATGCCTAAGTGCTTGATTTTATACACCTGTGGCCATGGAGGTGATTGGAACACCTGAATCCAATGATTTGGAGGGTTGTCCCAATACTTTTGGCAATATAGTGTATATCATCCATTATATATATAATGCATTGGGTGGTGCTGGGAACATCACGTCGCTACTAGGAAGTGTGCGAGCGGCAATATTATTGGAGGTTCTCCTCTATCCTATGCCTATGTGTATGACTATACAGTGCAGTTGTGTTTAGTGCACCTTGTAAGCTAAGTATTTACATTTTTTAAATAAAATATAACATTGGAAGCAGAGAGCACTTATGTATTCTTCCTCTTTTTGAGTTTTATACTGCCCTGTTCCAAAGCATTATGGAAGATGGAACTGGATTGTGAAACTTCTGGAGGCTAGAGTGGAGATTGGTACTGTGGCTTATAACAATCCCAGTTATAGGGGAGGTGCACATGACCTAGTACATGTTAGGTCTAATCTTAAGGTGAGAGCATAATCTTTGTGGTAACGGGACATGCACTTTGGATGAATTATATATTATAAAACACCGGTGAAAATAGGAAGAGTTCGGAATAAGAAGGAGGTTGAAGTCTTTGTATGCATCTTGAAAACATGTGCAGAAAATATTTAAAGTGGTAAACATGGACAAATTGAGTACACATGGACATTATCTCATATTTTTTACCTATAAGAAGGTGTATGAGATTTTCTACTTTACCATTAATGCTTCTTACGTAGAGTAAGTATAGCAAAGTACCTACCGACACTGTTTATATACCGTATTTGCCGGTGTATAAGACGACTGGGCGTATAAGACGACCCCCTACTTTTCCTGTTAAAATATAGGGTTTGAGCTATACTCGCCGTATAAGACTACCCCTCTGCCAACACACACCAAATAAAAATGAAAAAAACATCAGATTTGATTTCAATATGGTATGGTATTTCAGTATGGTATTCCAATGATGGGGTGCTATTCCTCCCACTGACACCAATGATGGGGCATGATTCCTCCCACTGATACCAATGATGGGGCACTATTCCTCCCACTGACACTAATGATGGGGCACTATTTTCATCCACTGACACCAATGATGGGGCACTATTCCTCCCACTGATACCAATGATAGGGCACTATTCCACCCACTGATACCAATGATGGGGCACTATTCCTCACACTGATACCAATGATGGGGCGCTATTCCTCCCACTGACACCAATGATGGTGCCCCATCATTAGTGTCAGTGTGGGAGGAATAGTGTCCCATCATTAGTGTCAGTGGGAGGAATAGTGCCCCATCATTAGTCAGTGGGAGGAATAGTGTCCCATCATTGGTGTCAGTGGGAAGAATCGTGCCCCATCATTGGTGTCAGTGGGAGGAATAGTGCCCCACCATTGGTATCACTGGGAGGAATAGTGCCCCATCGTTGGTGTCAGTGGGAGGAATAGTGCCCCATCGTTGGTGTCAGTGGGAGGAATAATGCCCCATCGTTGGTGTCAGTGGGAGGAATAATGCCCCATCATTAGTTATCAGTGGGAGGAATAGTGCCCCATCATTGGTGTCAGTGGGAGGAATAGTGTCCCATCATTAGTGTCAGTGGGAGGAATAGTGTCCCATCATTAGTGTCAGTGGGAGGAATAGCGCCCCATCATTGTGTCAGTGGGAGGAAAATAGCGTCCCATCATTGGTATCAGTGGCAGGAATTGCGCCCCATCATTGGTGTCAGTGGGAGGAATAGAGCCCCATCATTGGTATCAGTGGAAGGAATAGTGCCCCATCATTGGTGTCAGTGGGGAGGAGGAATAGTGCCCCATCGTTGGTGTCAGTGGGGAGGAGGAATAGTGCCCCATGGTTGGTGTCAGTGGGGGAGGAATAGTGCCCTATCAGTGGGGAGAAAAGTGCCCCATCATTGGTGTCAGTGGGGAGGAATAGTGCCCCATCATTGGCGTCAGTGGGGAGGAGGAATAGTGCCCCATGGTTGGTGTCAGTGGGGAGGAATAGTGCCCCATCATTGGTATCAGTGGGGAGAAATGTGCCCCATCATTGGTGTCAGTGGGGGAGGAATAGTGACCCATCATTGGTGTCAGTGGGGAGGAGGAATAGTGCCCCATCATTGGTGTCAGTGGGGGAGGAATAGTGCCCCATCATTGGTGTCAGTGGGGGAGGAATAGTGCCCCATCATTGGTATCAGTGGGGAGAAAAGTGCCCCATCATTGGTGTCAGTGGGGGAGGAATAGTGACCCATCATTGGTGTCAGTGGGGAGGAGGAATAGTGCCCCATCGTTGGTGTCAGTGGGGGAGGAACAGTGCCTCATCATTGGTGTCAGTGGGGAGGAGGAATAGTGCCCCATCATTGGTATCAGTGGGGAGAACAGTGCCTCATCGTTGGTGTCAGTGTGGAGGAGGAATAGTGCCCCATCGTTGGTGTCAGTGGGGGAGAGGAGCGGCTGCTCCTTCTTTCAGTTCGGCCGCTTGATTTTCGCGGGGCCGTTCGGCTCCGCCTCCTCGCCGGTAATTGGTCGCCTGTGTGCCTTTCCAGTGCTGGCGCCCAATCACCGGTGAGGAGGCGGAGCCGAGCGGGCGGCGGGACCATCGAGCGGCCGAACTGAAAGAAGGAGCAGCCGCGCTTCCTGGACCGGATTGTCGTGGGACCGGAGCCAGGTAAGGTACAGCAGCCCCTCTGCCCACCCCTGTACTTGGTGTCCGTGGGAGGAGGAGGGGGGGGGGCGCCGCCCCTCGACAAAGTGCCGCCCTGACACCGGCTCGCCGTGTACCGGCGTATAAGACAACCCCCGACTTTTCAAAAGATTTTCACGGGTTGAAAAGTCGTCTTATACGCCGGCAAATACGGTATATTTATATCTTTGATCTTGTGGGAAAACACATGAGTGTGGACAGCAGTATATAGATTTCACAGAATTTACGTTTCTATGATATAGGAGTGATTGCGCATGGGTATTTTATACTTCCTGTTAAAAAAAAAATCTATTTTTTCTCAAATTTAAGTCATAATGTATTCTGTTTTTGGTAAAAAAAATAATCCCAGTAAGTGTGTATTACTTGGTTTGTGTGAAAGTTTTCGCGTCTACAAACTGTGGTATATGTATATATATATATATATATATATATATATATATACAAATTTATCAATCCTGATGTATTGACAGCCGAACTCATCTCTTGAGGCCCTTAAAATGCCAGGACAGTACAAATACCCCCAAGATAACCCTTTTTGGAAATTAGACAGTCTGAAATATTTAGTAAGAAGCATAGAGAGGTTTTTGAAGTTGGTAATTTTTGTCATAAATTTTTGGAAAATGAAGTAATTACATAAAATATGTTTTTCCCAATTTTTTTTTTACATACTGTCACCAGCGCAGTACAGCATCAGCATATGACTGGTGTGGCAGTGATCAGGGACACTGACTGGTGACAATATGCATAGTGACATTTTTAAAAATGTTTTTACTATTTAAATACTTTCATCAGAGTAGTTCACTGTCACCATAGTGACACTGTACTACTTTGGGGAGCAATCAGGGATTTTTTTTGACACTTTGATGTGTCTTTGTGATGGTCTCTGGAACAGAAATATTTTGAACTGTCATGAATGGGTTACATGAATTACAGCTGTGATTACTAGTAGTCTGTGTTTGGCTACAGCTAATCACATGGTACAGGGTACTATTTTTGGCCCAGGCACAATGTGATAGCTGTGGGCCAATCACAGCATCACTGCAGAGGAATCACAACTATTATGACTGAATTCATTCATAACAGGTTTGTAAACATTATGATCATGTAATTGCCAAGTGATCAGATGACCCCTCGGCTGCTTTCAGGGGCTGGGTACACAGGACACAGAGGTCGCAATAACAGTGTACTGCATGCCACGGGCCACGTGGTCTGCATGTGCTAGGTTACGTACAGGTACATTGCTTAGCCTGTAGCTGCTGCCCACCCACAGTACATGTACTGTGGACAGTCGGCAACTGGATAGCATAATGACCATTAGTGATCAGTATAACTTGTGACTTTATAACTGGTGACTCAAGCTCACAATGGTTTTTGGCAAACGTGTAAATTGTTATTATTATTATATTATATAAAGGGAGAAATTACAGCAATGATACAGTTCAATACAAGAGGGTTAGGAGGGCCCTGCTCCTTGGAGCTTACAATCTAAGAGGGAGAGGCTGGTGTAATAACTGTGGGGGATGAAACTGATAGGAGGAATAGAATATTCCATTATTAGCTGAAGGCAGGATAGGCTTCCCTGAAGAGATAGGTTTTCAGAGATTGCCTAAAATAGGGCAGAGTAGGCGATAGTCGGATAGATTGGGGTAGAGAGCTCCAAAGGATGGGGGAGGCTCTGGAGAAGTCCTGGAGAAGATCATGGGAGGAGGAGACAAGGGAGCTAGAGAGCAGGAGGTACTGGGAGGAGCAGAGAGGATTGTTTGGGTGATATTTGGAGACAAGATTGGTGGTGTAATTTGGGGCAGCGTTATAAAGGGCTTTATATGTTATTGTTAATGTTTTGAATCTTATTCGTTGGACAATGGGAAGCCAGTGGAGGGATTAGCAGAGAGGGATGGCAGATATGGTACAGTTAGTAAGGTGGATGAGTCTGACAGCTGCATTCCTGATAGACTGAAGAGGGGATAGCCTGCGATTAGGAAGGCCAATGAGGAGGGAGTTACAATAGTCAAGGTAAGATATAACAAGGGAGTGAATAAGTTGCTTAGTAGTTTCAGAGGTTAAGAACAGGCATATCTTGGAGATGTTGCAGAGGTGAAGTCTACAAGATTTGAAGAGTGATTGGATTTGGAGCTGGAAGGACAGATGGGAGTCCAGGATTACACCTAGTACCCTGGCATGAGGGGAGGGACTGATGGTTGTATTATTAATCTTGATGGAGAAGTCAGGGGAGGGGACACGGGCTGGAGGGAATAGTATGAGCTCTGTTTTGGAAAGATTTAGTTTGAGGAAGTGGAGTG